CACTCACATACATGCAGGCAATACACTCATACACACACACACACACACACACACACACACACACACAAAGTAATACAGTACTATGTACCAACAGATGCTCACACTATGTTAGCCTCAAACTCTCAGAGATCCGTCTGCTTTAGCCCCCCTAGTGCTGGGAGTATAGGCATGAGACTCCCAAGCTGATTAAGAACTATTGTTGAGGGGCTGGAGAGATTGCTCAGCCCCTTAAGAACACTGGCTGTTCTTGCACAAGATCCCAGGGTTGGAATCCCAGCACCAACACGGCAACTAACAACTGTCCATAACTCCAGTTCCAGGGGATCTGACACCCTTTTCTGCCCCTGCAGGCATTGCACAACGCGGGTGCACGTAATTACATACATGCAGGCAATACAGTCATACACATAAAATATTTTTAAAAAGAACAATTGTTGAACTATAATTGCTTATAGTAATTGATATTAACTATATTTGCTTAAATGTTTACCATGTACCTAGAGATGTGTTCCAAGTTTCAAGGGGGTTAAATCACCACTGAATGGCTCTTCACAGTTACAAAGCCTACATAGGGGTAAGTGTGAGCCTTAAACCATACAAGTGGACTGAGGTCAGCATTCATTCTCTCCCTGTCAAACACTGACATATCAGAAAACTGCGGACCATTTCAACCTCCAAATTTTGTTTCTGGAGGTCAGTAACTTCCTGCTTAACGCCAATCAAAGCTTGATCCTTTCCCCAGAAAATAACGGGTTTCCATGTTGAGGCCCAGCACCTGGCGGAGGAGCAGGAGGAACGCGGCCCACCCTAGAAGCCAAAATACCAAGGCAGCAGCCCCGCCCCTCAGGCTCCCTCAGGCTTTAATTGGCTCTTGTGGCTCGTTTGCTTTCTCGGTTGGTGCTTCAGCTTGCCCGTCAACGCTACAGAGCCCACCTTTAGCCTAGGGTCATTGGTCGACAGTTACGTCATTGCCCCATCAACCCATTCTCATTGGTTCCCATAGGAGGGGGCGGTCTCAACGTCACAGGCCCGGGCCGCCATTTTGAGTGAGCAACCATAGTGACAGGAACCCAAGCAGCTGCTCGGTTGTCCCCGCTTCCCCTCCCCCTTCCCTTCTCGGCTGACTTCCCGGGCACTGCACTCCACAGTCCCGGTCCTGCCATGTCCCAGAAACAAGAGGAAGAGACCCCTGCGGAGGAGACCGGCGAGGAGAAGCAGGTGAGATGAAGGGGGGGGCGGGCGGGGGCGGCCCCGTGGGCCGGAGTCACCCCCGCCGCCGCAGCGGATTGGGCGCCTCGGCCTCGGGCTCTGCAGGGGTTGGCCAGTGTTGGCGTCGTTCAGGCTGCGTTCCAGCTGGGCTGGGTGCTCTGACACCGATTAGTCAGGCCTATTGTCTGTCCGTGTGATGCTCTTCCTTATTGGCCAGTAGGCCTTCTGTTCAAGCCGTGGAAGCTGTTCTGTAATTGGCCGAGTTTGGCTGGGGGCGGGTGTTTGGAAAGACTAGGTGAGTGAAAGGGGGCTGGCTGGTGGTCTGGGGTTGTAATTGTGTTGTTTGATGAGGAGTGGTAAGTGACCCCTGGTGAGGCTGGAGCGTGGCCTCCTTCTGTAAAGGGATACAGGTCCAGGAAAAGAGGTTTAGAAGGTACCAGCATTGGGGGAGGGGAGAAGAGTAATTATTACCATGGCTAGGTTTAGGTGGCAACTTTCCCAGACATGTTTTGATAGGGAGGGTTCGTTGTTCACCTTCAGTGACCTGCAGGTTCCCCCCTTCCCCCTCCCCCCTCCCCTACTTCCACAGCAGTGGAACTTAGTGCGCTCACCATTCTGTGAGGAAAACACCAACGCCAGCTAAAGCCCTTCCTGGACTCTGTATTTGACTTATTTAACACTGGGCCCAAGTACTCATGAAATACATTGTCTTATCTGTACCTAATTTTTAAGGGAAAATCCACCATAAATAACTACACATTGGCTTCAGGTCCTTTAAAAAAAAGTCACTGAAGAGCAGCAGGGGGAGGGAGGACTAGCAATATAGCTAAATGGTAGAGCACTTGGCTAGCATGGGCAAGGTCCTGAATTAACTCCCAGTACCAAAAAAGAAGTGGCCTGATGTGAAAGCTAACAGAGGCTGAGGCAGGAAGGTTGCTGCAAATCCCGAGCCACCCTGGGCTTCAGAGTGAGACCCTGTCATAAAAAAATAGTAATTGTGATGCCCACAAAAAGCAAGAGCCAAGCCAAACGTGGCATTACTCACCTTTAATCTCTGCATGCCAGAAGCAGAGGCAGGCAGATCTCTGTGAGTTCAAGGCCAACCTGTTGTATTCAGACCCTGTCTCCAAAACAAAATAAGCCCAGCGTGGTGGACCACGCCTTTAATCCGGGCACTTGGGAGGCAGAGGCAGGATCTTTGTGAGTTCGAGGCCAGTGTGGTCTACATAGTGAGTTCCAGGACAGCTGGGGCTATAGGGAGACCCTGTCTCAAAAACACACAAAAAAGAAACAACATTGAGAGCCCCTGCAGACAATTTGAGCTTTGGTGCTTCCTTAGATTTCCATCACCTGCTCCACTCAGAGTAGGTGTTTTTTTGGTTTGGCTTGGTTTGGGTTTTGGTTTTTTTTTTTTGATGAAAACTGATGAGTGATTACCACAGTGAAACCAGTGTTTTTGAACTTTCCTGAAGTTAAAGGTAATGTCAGTTTAATTTCTGTTTACCTTCATTACCTTCCTACACTTAGGGAAATGTTGAAGTGTATTACTCAAGTGGAGATTTTGGAGTAGGCCACATAGCTAGCCTCCTCCACAGTTAGAGTTACCAGCTGGCTTCTTAAGAGTCTGAATGAGGAGGGAACATCTCAGAAGGCTCAGTTTCTTTGACCTGTAGGACAGCCAGGAGCTCTAATTGTCTGGTATCACTAGATACCCTGGCCAGTTTTTTCTTGGTCTTTCCTACTATCTGTGCAGAGTGAACTGTAGCTTGCTCTATGATTCAAGTATTGTGTTTAGGTATTAACTCTAACCCAGTACTCACAGGTCACTGGAATGGTTCCTGGGTGTAGTGTGAGAAGCAGCTTGTAGTTATCTTCACAGAGTCCTCCTGAGCCCTAAGGATTTGTATGTTTTTTGTTTTGTTGATGTTTTTGACAGGGTCTCCCTAGTCCTAGCCTGCCTAGATGTCACTATGAGGACCAAGCTGGCACCCATGTCACAGAGGAAGTCCCCCTGCCTCTGCCTCCCGAAGGCTGGGATCCATGCCCAAAGCTTTAAGGATTAACAAGTAACAGTGTTAAATTTGGCTCCCAGGTCCTAAAGAAACTTCTGAGACAGACCACTTCTTGGACGCCTGCCAGCCCAGCCTGAGAGTCCCTATTGGGAGTTCAGCCCCTGCTGCCTAGCAAGTTATACATTTATGTGGCTACTGTCAAAGTAGTGAGCCCTAAGGATTTGAACAAAGGTCTAGCTTTAAGAGCAGAGTGGAGATGTCATCTTCATAAACAGGTGGACCTCCAGGAAAATTGATAATAGAAGGGTTATCAGATATTGGAAGCAGTTGCTTTCAGCCCTTGATTTTTATTTGGCTTATTTCCTTCAGGACACACAAGAGAAAGAAGGTATTCTCCCTGAGAGAGCTGAGGAGGCAAAGCTAAAGGCCAAATACCCAAGCCTAGGACAGAAGCCAGGAGGTTCGGACTTCCTCATGAAGAGACTCCAGAAAGGGGTATGGAGCACCAAGTCTACCCTTTTCCTATGGAGCCAACCAGGACTCCATGGATGGAGTCTGTAGAGGTTCTACTACATGTTTTTCTGGAGATTTGGTTGTTGGGCAGTAAAAGAGGTGAATTAGCAATTTGAAAAGAAGATAACAGATTATTGTAAATCCCTGATATGATTTAAGTTCTCTTTGGATGTCCCTTATAGGAATTTAAGGCTGTATGTGGAGGAATGGAGAATGAGGGAAGGATGTTAGAGACTGGAAATGAAGCCTCTACCCAGGCATTTGCCTGTTTGGGTGGTAGAGATTTTAGGACTATGTACTTGTTAAGGGTTAGAAATAAATTTTAGGATATATCATTTCAGAAAAAGACCACAAATCTTCAACTTGAACTTCTACTGTTATATATCTAGAGTTAACAGCAGACATCTATGATACTCTCTCAAGAGACTTAGTTTAGGCTGAGCATGGTGGCACATGCCTTTAATCCCAGCACTTGGGAGGCAGAGGCAGGCGGATCTTTGTGAGCCTGAGGCCAGCCTGGTCTACATAGTGCATTCCAGGACAGCTGAGGCTACAAGGAGACCCTGTCTCAAAAAAGACACACAAAAAAAGAGAGAGAGACTTAGTTTAGCTGGTTGTTGTAGTTCATGCTATAATCCCAGCACTCAGAAAGCTGAAGCAGGAGGATTACCAGAAGTTCAAGAACTGCCTGGGCTACACAATAAGTTTCAGGACAGCCTGGGCTACAGAGTGAGACCCCTCTTTCAAAAAAAAACACACGAAGAGGGCTGGAGCAATGGGTCAGTGGTTAGAAGTACTTAATTGCTCTTCCAGAAGATCCTGGGTTCAGTTCACAGCATCCACATGGTGACTAACACCTGTTTGTAACTTCAGTTCCAGGGACTCCAACACCTTTCTCCACCAGGCATACATGTCCACTTAACATGGTGGTAAAACAATCTAACATGTAAAATAAAAACATAAAATCTTTAGAAAAAAAACAGTTTGGCACATGGCACTCACTTTTAATCCCAGCACTGGGAGGCAGAGGCAGAGGCAAGCAGATCTCTGAGTTCAAAGCCAGCCCAGTCCACATAGTGAGTGGCTATACATAGTGAGTGACTACAGGAAGACCCTCTCTCAAAAAAGACAAAAAAGGATGGCTCAGCAGTATGAGTGCTTGTTGTTGTTCCAAGGAATCGAAGTTCAGTTCCTAGCACCCTTGTTGGGTTGCCTTTTACACCACATAAAAAAAGTCAAAACCAAGACCAGAATGACTTTCCTCACCAATGGAAAGTCTACCTTCATGGCCATCTACCTGTTTGTTTTTTTTTAAAGATAGCTAGCTGGTCTTGGCAGATGGATCTCTGTGAGTTCAAGGCCAGCCTGGTCTGCATAGTCCTCGGCCACTTGGGGCTACAGAAAAGAAAAAAAGCTGTTCTGGCTGTGTAGACCAGCTGACCTTGATCTCTTACAGATCCGCTTCCCAAGCGCTGAAACTAAAGGCATGTGCCACCATGCCCCATGCAGTCATCTAGCTCCTCTTTATTAGGTTTCTTGCTACAGTAAACTGATGGAGAGGCTGAGAGAATTAAGCTGATTATGGCTAAGGTAGAAAGGAAAGCAAATCTCTATGGAGAATCCCAGTTACTGAGTTTTAGTCACAGATGATAATGTGATGCAGATTTGCCACTTACCTTGCCTTAGGCAAGCCAGGCGTAGGCAGACTGTCTCAGCCTAGGAACATGTGTGGGAGTGGCGGGAGTCAGGGAAAGCACATTGCTTCAGGAACAAACCTAGTTCCTGGTCTGAGGGAATTTTTAATTCTGCAGTTGTTGGTTTTGGTTGACCAGCTCCTTGCTGGGGTAACCCCGGATTGACCCGTTTTTTTTTTACTTTATTCATTTGTTTCTCCAGCACCAAGCTGTTGTTTGCCATCTAGTAAGGTCCTCAGTAAGCTGTTATGAATGAATAAAGTCATTCTGGTTGCACCAATCTTGTGCTGAGTGAGGTACAGAGACGTAGGAACTGTTACCTGAGTCTGATAACAGAGCTTTCCCTTAGACTCCAAAAATGCATGTTTTTTGTTAGGAAACTGCTTATACTTGTAAAGGTCAGAACACGCCAGGAGGAGACATAAGTGCAAATAAGTAATGTCAAACTGTATGTGCATTCGGAAGACCGAAAAAGATCTGAGTGTCGATGAGAGTTTAGAATGAATATTATATATATGTATCTTTGCATTTGGAGAACTCCATTTGGGCTGGTGTTCATCTAAACCTCTCTCTTGTCTCTTAGCAAAAGTACTTTGACTCAGGAGACTACAACATGGCCAAAGCCAAGATGAAGAATAAGCAGCTGCCAAGTGCAGGACCAGACAAGAACCTGGTGACTGGTGACCACATCCCCACCCCACAGGATCTGCCCCAGAGAAAGTCCTCGCTCGTCACCAGCAAGCTTGCGGGGTAACCTGGGCCCCTCTCCTCCCCTTCCTCACCCACTGGACTTTTATATGTTAGGCAGGGAATGGGCATCTAGTCAGAGCTCAGCTTGCTGCTAGGGAAAACATTTTTCTGGGAGCTGAAGGTTGAAGGAGGGGCTCTGAGTTCATTTCTTTGGTTAAATTGAACCCTCCACACCCTCACTGTAGTCCAGGTAGGGACCCAGAAATAGGAAGACTAGGACTGAATGTTGCTGCAATGTTTTCTTATGTGGAAAATGTGGACGATGTGAGTTCTTTTGGAGGAAAGTATCTCCAAATTGGTTAGGCTGAGACTTGGAGTAGCATGGCAGGTTTAATGTCCCAAGGCTAAGCTAACGTGATGGGAAAGAAGAGTGAAAGACAGACATGCTTTCTGTGCTTCTAAGTGTGCTGTCCTTTAGGCCACTGTGCTTTATGTTTTCATCATGGCAGGTTTAGAGAACCGTCAGAAAAGAGAAGTGATTTGCTTGCTTAAAGCTATGTAACCCCCTTTATAGGGTATCTCTTACAATTTGCCCTGGTTCTCAAAGGATGTAAAGCTTGATGAATGTTATTTGTGAAAAAAGGGTACCTTTTCTTTTCCAGTGAATTGCTTTTGAAATTATTATGGGATAATGGAGCACTGGTTTAGGAGTTGAAATATCAGCATTTTAGTTCTACTCAGTCTTAGCTATACTAATATGTGTGGTTGGGTCTTTAGCCTCTGGATTTCATTTTCCTCACCTGTACAAGAATGAAATATGTATAATTCTGACTCTAAAATTCTATACCTGCCATAACTGTGCTGTCCATCATAAAACTAAAAGTGAGGAAGGCCCGTCGTGAGCCTCCATCCACCCTGTAAAAGTAGGAAAGGAGCAGGAAGGATGCTACATGGGGAGAAAGTAAGTTTGCAGTTTGAAGGCTGTAAGTTCAGGCAGCAGAATCTCACAGCTACCATAGCCTTCTTGAGGATTAAAGGGAAAAGAAAAAAATCCTAAAGAAACTAGCCATGGATGTTTCTTTACTCTGCTGGGTCTACAGCCAGACCTTAGCTGCTAAACACTCTGGCAGCAGAGCCTGACAGGCCTGAGGAAACATGCTTGGTCATGTCCACGTGGGACTCAGGCTCCAGATGTAACAGATGGTAGGTATATTGTTAGCGAGTGGAAAGGGGGATGAACTGAGCTGGCCCCAAGGGCTTAGTCCCACTGCACAGACAGGCAGCAGGTTCTTAGCAGATGATCCACTGTGGCAGAAGCTAGGGAAAGGATTTAGGGAAGGAAGATGGAAAAGTCTGTCCAGCTAGGGCTCACACACTCAGCTCTGAGGCGGTAAGGAAGTAGCAGTGCTGATTTATGAACAAGTGGAAGGAAAGGAGGTTGTGGCCAGCTGCTTCTAGTTACCACCAGTTTGGCAGGGTGAGAACTGTTAAAAGAGTAAGATGCTGTAATCTCTCTTACCCTTTTACCTCACACATTCCAATGTGCCATTGAGAATGACTGGCAAGTTTGCCGATCTACATGCCAGAGGAATAGGTACGTAAGTTGTTTCCTGACTGGCCACTCAGTTCTCTGGCTGTCATGCAGATTGCATAGGAAAAGGTTGGTGAGGAAGGAATGGAGAGAGCAGGATCCCTGATCTCCCTGGCCCCCAAACTCCTTGACTGTCATTTGTAATTGTATATAATTTTTGTGTTTCCTGCTCCATTTTCTCATGCTGTCATCCTTAATCTAAAGTCCATGTGGGAAGGGGACAATGCTGAACATCGTGTATAGTTTCCTCAACCGTCCCAGCCATGTTGTACATAGATATGTCATGTTATTATATATATAAATATATATATAATTTTGTACGTTTTCTTCATCTCCGATCTTCTCGAATTCTGTACTTCCTTTCTGTCTGAGCTGCCTTCTCTATTGGTCAGTTTGTGTCTTCAAGACAGATTCACAATGAGTCTGATTATTAGGAAGTAACAGAAGAAATAGGGAAATGGAGCTGGCTTATAATGCCCAAGCTACTCAGAAGGCTAAGGCAGGAAGATTGCTAGTTCAAGGGCAGCCTGGGTTACAGGGTAAGTTCAAGGCTAGCCTTGGCAACTTAATGAGACCTGTCTCAAAAACTAAAAAGAGAGTCTAGTTCAGTGGTAGATTGCTTGCCTAGCATGCAGGATACCCTAGGTTCAATCCCTAGTAACACAGACACAGAGGAAGAGGAGTAGGAGGAGGAAGCAGAATAAGAAAATAGTCTTACTCTTCATGTCCAAGAAAACAAAGAAACAAGCTACATTTTGTATTTGCCACCTGTTTCTTAGCAAGGAAGGGTCATTTTAAAACCCAAATGCATTTGATTAAATCCAGATCATTAAGTCCCCTCTAAACAGCAACTGTGAGGTCTGACCCTGGCCCCTCCTAGTCACCACCTCACTGCTCTGCTGCTGAGATCTCCACTGCTGCCATTGGCTATGGCCCTGCATGGCTTCAGACAGACATCTTACCTCCCTGGAAACCTCTAGTTATTTGGTGTCTAAAGAATTGTGGTTTCCTGTTTTCCATGAATATCTCAAAAAGACAGAAAACATTCTGTTTGTAGATAGGAAAAGACTGAAATTTTCTTTTTTTCTTTTTTTTTTTTTAATTTCTTTACAGATAATATTGAGGCATTTGTAGGTAGTGTAATGATTGGAGAAGTTGGGTAGAAACTGGGATGGAATTCAAGGGGTTTTTCCCTATTACTTTACAGTGTCTCTTTTTATTTGTTTTTGTTTTTGTTTTTTTTTTTCCTTTTGTGTTCATCCACAGTGGCCAAGTTGAGTGATGCTGCCTGGGGCTCCACCAGATCCTGAGATGCTGCCCACCTGGGTCCTGTGCTGGCTCCTACCCTTCCCTGCTAGTGCAGCCAGGGGTCAGGTGGTGGCTTGGGTGCAGGCTAGAGAGGCAGAAATCCCTGCCCATTGCTGTCCCAGTGCATGGAGCCCCTTGGGCTGAGCACCAAGACCTTGAACTTTTTTATTTTGCCTTTTTTTCCAACTAGCTGTTAGGAGAAATCTCAGTGAAATCCCATGGGTGGAGTTGAGAGGGTGGGATGGAAGATATGGGGGGAAAATGGACTTGGGTTTAGAGTCAATAAAAAATTTCCTGTCATCATCCTTAGCAATGCATTTGACAAGTTGGATGGATTCCAGGGGGAGGAGTGGTGGTAGACTAATGATAAGGGATTCTGATTCAGCCCTGAAGAGAAATGCATTGTTTGGATGGACTGGAGACCTGGTGTCAGAGAGAAGGAACTGTCACTCTTCATACAGCAGGTTCAAACAGCTTCTCTGGTTCTTCAGAGCAAGCTGAGGACTCAGTGTTAATTGTTCATTTAAAAAAAAGTGCTGTTCTTGAAATAGGTTTGCTCTGGGGAGAAGGGCAGTGAGTGTGGGGAGTCCCACAGAGCCCAGGGGAAATTTTTTCAGTATTTGAAATAAAAAAAAAAAAAAATACCCATGGAAAAACCAAACCCAAAATACTCTGAAGCAGTTGGTGTGTTTTATTGGGGTTTGGGAGGGTGAAGAAAATAATACTGAAGAGTCTATTGAGTGTAAAGGTTGGTGTGGGGCCCTGAGTTTTTGAGGAGCAGCAGGATCTCTGATAAGAGATTCAGCCTGGCCTCCTGGCCTCATCATCTGACAGGGGGGAGGGGAATGTTGGTACACGGAGCAGGCCTTGTTCTAGCTTCTGCTTATCCGTTGTTTCTGTAGCTAATAGAGAAAGTGAATCACCTACAAAATGAGAGTCAGGATATTTGATCTAAATGGTTTATTGGTGCCTGAGGCTATTCAGGCTCAGCAAAAATGGATGCCTCTTCATTTTCCCTTTAAGTTTCTATTCCTAAATTCCATGTGTGGGGGAGAAATGTGACCTGTTAGTAATAAGCCAAAAGAAACGCTGGTGTTTCTGTTCATGACCAGCAGAAGGCAGAGTGTCTTTTCCCCACATGATGTCCCAGCCTACATGCCTGAAATCCTGCCAGTGAAATGGGTTAAAAGCTGCTTGTGTGCTGATGCGGTGGCTACCCCTATAAACTCAGCATTTGGGAGGTAGATCAAGATCAGAGGTTCAAGGTGAGCTTTGGCAACATAGTCTGAGGCCAGCAAGGGCTACATAAGATCTGTCCCAAAGGACAAAGTCGGGGAGGTGGGGTGTTGTCCAGGAACTATAGTTCAGAGAAATCACCAGTACCTGAGCTTTCAGTGTCTGACATTCTTTTTTCTCTTTAGAAGGTTTTGTTTTTTTTTGTTTTTCCTATTTGTCTGTGTGTGAATGCCATATTATGTATGGTACCTGTGGGAAAAGGGTGAAGATCCCCTAGAGCTGGGGGGATTGTGGGCCACCTGACAGGGGTGTTAGGAACTGAACTCAGGTCCTCTGGAAGAGTAGCACCTACTCTCAGCCACTGAACCATCTCTCCAGCCCCCTCTTTCTCTCTCAGTCAAAAGTTTTCCAAGTAAATTTTCAACTACTTGGGTGTTTCTGGTTTTTTCTCTTGTGATTTAGTCAGGGGCTTATACTACATCCTAAAAGTTTGACTTGCTGAATAGTGATCCATTTGGAATGAAGGTATATTAAAGAAAAACACTCAGCCAGACATGGTGGTACATGCCTATAATCCCAGCTTGGGGAGATGGAGGCAGGGTGATCAAGGAGTTCAAGGTCATCCTCAGGTATGTAGCCAATTTGAGGTGAGGCCTAGGCTTTCCACAAAATCCTGTTTTAGAAAAATAAAAGCAAGCTGGGCATGGTGGTGCAAGCATTTAGTCCCAGCACTCAGGAGGCAGAGGCAGGCAGATCTCTGGTTTCAAGGCCAGCTGGGGCTACAGGGAGACCCTGTCTCAAAAAGACAAAAGAAAAACAAAAGCAACTGGGCATGGTGGGGCTTGCTAATAGTCCCAGTATTCAAGAGGCAAGAGGATCACAAGTTCAAGACTACCCTACTTTTATATAGTGAGTTTCAAAACAAGGCCACATGGTAAGACACTCAAAAATAACAGGATGCTGAGCATGGTGATGTGCACCTTTAATCCCAGCCCTTGCTGTGAGTTTGAGGCCAGCCTGGTCTACATAGCCAGTTCCAGGCCAGCTGGGGCTACAGAGAGACCCTGTCTCAAAAAGACCGGAAAAAAAAAAAAAGTGTTGAATAATACATGAAAAAGTGCGTAGAAAAGTTAAATACCTAGGGTATAAACTCAAAGCTGTGGCTGGGCGTGGTAGTGCACACCTTTAATTCCAGCATTTGGGAGGCAGAGGCAGGCGGATCTCTCTGAGTTCAAGGCCAGCCTGGTTTACACAATTCCGGGCCAGCTGGGGCTACAGGGAGACCCTGTCTCAAAAAGACCAAAAAAAAAAAAACCTCAAAGCTATGTATTCTGGGGTGCAAATAATGCTCTTATTACAGTGGAATTAGTGAGACGTATCAATTCCATACCTTTTCACCAAGCATGTTAGGGTTGTGTCTGCCATGTGGCTGAGAATGAGGTGAGGCCATATTAGACCATTTGGTTAGTGCATATTCATTTTCATACTGGTGAGGACTTTGAGGTCTGAAAATAAGTTGCTTGGAAAATGGGAGAGCTAGCTAGCTGAAGTGCTTGAGTTAGTATCTAACCCCTTGTATCATGACCTCCCCACTATTCTTGAGTCCCAGGACCTTAGTTTTAAGCTGTAACCTTGGAAATCCCTGGGTATCAAGGAATAGTTTGGATACCCACATTTCATTTTTAAAATTTGCTATTTGGAGCCAGGCATGGTGGTGCACACCTTTAATCCTAGCACTCAGGAGGCAGAGGCAGGAGACTCTCTGAGTTCAAGGCCAGCCCCATCTACATAGTGAATTCCAGGCCAAATGGGGCTACTGGGGGCCCTGTCTCAGAAAGACCCCCCCAAAAAATGTTATTTGGGGCTGCCAAGATGGTTCAGCAGGTAAAGCACTTGCCCCACATAACTGACAACCTGAGTTCAAATCCCAGAACCTACATAAAGGTGGAAGGAGAAAACTGACTCCACAAAGTGGCAGGCACACATATGCACAAAATTATTTTTTAAGAAATAATAAACTTGGCTGGGCCTGGTGGTGCACACCTTTAATCCTAGCACTTGGGAGGCAGAGGCAGGCGGATCCTTGTGAGTTCAAGGCCAGCCTAGTCTATACAGTGAGTTCCAGGACAGCTGGGGCTACAGGGAGACTGTCTCAAAAAGACAAAAAAAAAAAAAAGGAAAAGGAAATAATAAACTTGCCAAGTAAATGTGCACACCTTTAATCTCAGTTCAAGGCCAGCCTGGTCTATATAGCAAGTTCCAGACAGGATTACATAGTGAGATCCTGCCACAAAAAAATAAAATAAAATAAAATTTGCCATTTGTTTCTCATTACATATATTGGACTTGAGCAACCAAGCTAACAAAGTTTATAGCCTACTTAACCTTTACTTACTTTTTTTCAAATAAGGTCTTATTATATACCCAGACTGGCCCCAAATTCACATCCTGTCTTAACTCCTGTGTGCTGGGGTTAAAGGCATGCTATGGCCACACTTGGCTCCTGGTATTTTAGCTAGGTGTTTTCTGAAATCTTTATCTCAAAAGAATTGAGAGGAGGAGGGTTTTCCACCACTCTTAACACAGTTGGATGACTGGTGACAAGCCTCTCCACTGAGCCTTTTTAGACATACAAGGTGGTAGGAATCAAGTTACTGTGGCCCACAAGCATTGACTTTCAGTTAGTGTAGCCGAAACAGAAAAAGCAGTCAGAAGTCAGGCAAGGTGGAACACCAGTAATCCCAGCACCTGAGAGCCTGGTACAAGAGGATTGCCATGAGTTCCAGACCAGCCTGACTGCATAAGACCCTGTATCAAAGAAGCACTGTAGTATACACTTGTAATCTCAGCACTGATGAGGTAGAGGTAGAAGAATCAGGAGTTCTGGACCAACCTCAGGGACAAAGTGAGTTCAAGGCCAGCCTGAGGTACATGAGACCTTGCCTCAAACACACATGTGTACACAGAGAAAAAGAAAAGGCAAATGGAAAAATAACTCTCAAGTGGGTTGCCATTAAGGATATTTGCAGCCAGGCATGGTGGCACATTCCTATTGTAAGAGTGAAACCACTGAGGACAAGTCAGCCTTCGGGTTGCAACAGCAAGAGGTTTATTTAGTACACAGGTACCTGTGGGCACAAAGTCTCCTCGGAGGACTTGCGCGCCCCCATGCTGGGTTTTGGCACTTTTATAGAGCAGAAGCGGGGTACAGAAGCAGAAGCATGGTTATTGGCCCATTCAAACGAGTACAAAGCATGAGGAAGTTAAGTTGCTAAATTCTGGGTGGGTGACTTATGGTACAGATGTTATTTCCTGATTTCCTGGTATCGAGCCCCGGGGATTGCCAGATGCAGATGGCTTGACCACTACGTCCTGTTTTTCTGATAAGCTAGTTTCTCAATGCTTGACCTCTTGTCAGGCATTCCTATCAGGTGGCCTCATGGCGCCTAGGTTTTTCAACAACATTCAGCTATGTGCAAGTTCAGATATTGTATGTATATTTTTCTATAGGCTTTTGAACAAATGCATAACCTACAGTTTTTAACACAACCTAAGCATAATTTCTCCTCTCTCTGTCTCTCTCTCTCTCTCCTCTCTCCTTGTCTAACCCTCATTTCTCCCTCCCCAGTTATAGTACCCCCATTTCCTTATTCTTCCCTTGATAATTTACCTGTCTTGTATTTTCCCTCCTCTCATGAGCTCTTTCTTCCCATTTACCCTCATGGATCTTTCCTTATCCTTCCCTCTTCCTTTCCCAATAAAATACACTCATTTTCTGTTGGAGACTGTAAGGCAAATTCACTGCTGGGAGGTACACGTGGCATCCAATCCCCTCCTCCCATAGTCCTTGTGACAGCCTGAGGAAAAAATTCTCCAAACCCAGATTGTGATGTTTTTATTATATAGTGCATATTAAGGATCTTACAAATTTACCAGGGCCTATGACTTCAACGAATGATAAAATAGATAAATTCTTAGTGGGTGTTATGGATTTCT